CCCCAAAAGGATTACATATACTAATACACAATTCGATCAATAAATATCCAAATCACATTAAAAATGTAGTCTACAAAGAAATTGTACAAAACATTACACAAGAATATAGATCATAACATAGAAATATGTATAATACCAAATTCTTTCCAGTATTAATACAACTCTTTCACTATAATTCATATACCGATACAATAAAGTAATTTATTCATATACTAAACATTTATTCATTACTTTTGACAATTAAGAAAAATGACTATACCTATTCGTGCATTAAGACTAAATACAGTGTACATCACCATCATAGTAATAATCTCCAAATTATAAACGAACAACAACCTTACTACAAGACGTTTAATAAATCATGATTGCATCTTAATTGACAAAGAAGTAACAACTTTTAGAAATATTAAATTACATACTATTTGATACATTACTGAACATTGTAATATAATTAACTTTTTAATCTTTCCTATCTACAACATAAAGTAATACAAGCATCAATATGGGCACGAGATTCAGATATCATTTGTCAAAAATATAGAACATGGCAGGATATATAATATTGGTAATTTCTTTGTTGCCTAAAATAAACCAACATATTAGTACATCAAAATTATTATTAATATATCAACATATTTATAATACTTTTTATTTACTGAATAACAGATGTTATTAAAGTCATCAAAAGTATCCAAGCAATTGAGAAGACAAACAGATGACAGAGCCATCTAAAAAATGACTAAAAATCAGATAATATCACTATTTCTAAATTCTTTATTTTAATTTTCCTAATTATTATACTAATATTTTCAAAAATTCTTATTTTGCAGCTACAGCTCCAAAGAACCATCAAAAAAAGAAAAGTAAAAAATGTAATGTAATGTACAAACCTTTTTAGTAGACCTTTAAACAAATACATATATATATATATATGTATATGCATGTATATATAAATTAATACTGTGATGTACAAACTCATGATTTTCTCTATAATATAACAATCTTTTCCACAGTAACACGCGGGTAAAAAAACTAGTAACAACTATTGAACAATCAACACAAAAAAATTAGTACAAAAACAACGTATCAAATCTCCAAAATAAATCTTAGATCTCAAAATCTTATATATATATATATATATATATATATTGTTGAGATAAATTCATTCAAAACGCAAAAAGAGGGCCAAAGGCCAAGATCTTATATCTAACGTTTAAAATCCGATGCCGACGAGGAAACTCTTTGGAATTATAATCTACCAAATTATCAAATTATACCTGAATTTGAGGGGAAAAAAGGATTATCAAAACAACTCTTATGAAAATATGTAAATTTCCTATGGTAGGAAATGTAAAAAGGAGAACGTAAAGAAGAAAAAGGGAATTGAAGAAGAATTATGTATATTTATGTATATTGGAAATGATGTACAATGAGTATTTTATACAAGCATGAGAGAATAATTCTATGCCTAAATAATAGCAACTTTCCTAACAAATGCCCTGATTTAGGGAAATTGATCTAGACAATAAATTAAATAAATACAGGAAATCAAATACAGAAAATCAAGAGGGAATCAAGGAATAATTATATAGGATCTTGATTCTTAACACTCCCCCTCAAGTTGGAATAGATATTGATCATTCCTAACTTGTTGATGGGATTTGAAAACTGCGGCACACCCAAGGATTTAGTGAAGATATCTGCGGGTTGTTTTGATGTCGAGATATGGTAAGTCTTGACTACCCCAGTTTGAACCTTTTCTCGAACAAGGTGACAATCAATCTCTATGTATTTTGTCCGTTCATGAAAAACCAGATTGGAAGCAATGTGTAGATCAGCTTGATTATCACAAAATAACTTTACTGGCTGTAAATGCTTTATTCCAAGATTAAGTAAAATGTTTTGGAGCCAAGTGATCTCACAATAAGCAGCTGCCATGGAACGATATTCTGCCTCTGCACTTGAACGGGAGACAGTTGCTTGCTTCTTGGTTTTCCAAGAAATGAGAGAACGCCCAATAAAAACGCAATAGCCTGTGGTTGACTTTCATGTGTCTCGACAACGAGCCCAATCAGCATCACAAAAAGCATTCAACTGCAATGAACTTGTGGATGGGAAAAAGATACCTTGTCCAGGTGTATTCTTAATGTATCGTAGGACTCGTTGTGCCGCTTCTAGGTGTGGAACTCGAGGCTTATCCATAAATTGACTGAGAATATGTACGACATAAACCAAGTCTGGCCTTGTGATAGTCAAATAAATCAGTCGCCCAACAAGTCTTCGATAAGAAGAAGGATTTTCAATGCAATCGCCCTCTTCCTTACTAAGAGATAAATTCTGCTCCATTGGAGAATTGGCGGGCTTCACTCCCAAGTACCCCATGTCTTCTAATATTTCCAGTGCAAATTTCCTTTGTGAAATAGCAATTCCTCTTTTGGATTGAGATATTTCAATGCCCAAAAAATATTTTATGTTGCCAAGATCCTTGAGCTTAAATTGCTGCATGAGATGAGCTTTAATTCCTTCAATTTCTTGGAGATTATTGCCCGCTAGAATGATGTCATCTACATAGACAAGGAGAGCAGTAAAGGAAGTACCATGGTGTCAGACGAATAAGGAGTGATCTGATTTGGATTGTATGAAGTGTGCAAGAGTAAGGACTTTGGATAGCTTGATGAACCATTGACGGGAAGCTTACTTGAGTCCATACAAAGATTTGTGAAGCTTGCATACACGTGTGTCTCCCCCTTTCGTCCGAAACCAGGAAGGAATGACATGTAGACGTCTTCCTCTAGATCACCATGTAGGAAAGCATTGTTAACATTTAGTTGGCGAAGGTGCCAATTCATGGAAGATGCGATAGCAAGGAATAAGCGAACAGTAACAAGCTTGGCAACGGGGGCAAATGTCTCATAATAATCAAAACGTTCCATCTGATTGTAACCTTTTGCAACTAAGCATGCTTTGTATCGCTCGACAGTGCCATCAGGGTTGAATTTGATCTTGTATACCCATTTGCAACCTACGGATTTCTTGTTTGAAGGCAAAGATTGGAGAGACCAAGTGCCATTATCTTGGAGAGCACGAAGTTCTTTGACACCATTTTGGATCTTTGATGGCCTGGGCAAAGGATGTAGGTTCTTTGACAGTGGAAATGGAAGTAGTGAAAGCATGATGGATAGGAGAAAGTCTGTCATAAGTAAGTACATGAGACAAGGGGTGAGAAATACCTTTGGAAGCATCCAACACCGAGTGAGACGACGGTAAGGAGCGAGCAGGCAAAGAAGTTTCTACATGATACTGTTGAAGGTAGCTGGGTGTCCGTGTAGGAGAATTGGGTGAGGAATCAAGCGGAGCCGCAACAGCAGTGTCTAAGGCCGCAGCATTGGGAAGAGAAGAAGATTGGTCACCGAGGCACATGGGAATGGTCATTGCGACGGGGGCAATCGGGTCTGAAGGCACCACGGCGGCCAAAGTTGGATCCGCAGCGAGTGGGTTTGAAAAGTCTGGCACGGTAGTGGGAGGAATCGAGTCTGAAGACGCCGCGACAGGCAAAACTGGTGCCACAGCGGGTAGAGTTGGATTGGTTAGCGCTGCGGCGGGAAAGACGGGAGCCATGGTGGAAAGAATCGGATTGGATGTTCCAGATGAAGTGGATATGGGTGCAGTGGAAACATAAGGAAAAATATGTTCATTAAAAATGATATCTCGGGAAATGAAAATTTTTCCAGTGGCTAAATCATATACCCGATAACCTTTTGTACCATAAGGATAACCAAGGAAGATGCAACGAAGAGAGCGAGCATCAAATTTGCTTGGTTTGTGGTGATGGGTAGAAGTAAAACATAGGCAACCAAAAACACGTAAATGATCATAAGTGGGTGTTTTGTTAAAGATTACCTCAAATGGTGTTTTGCCATGAAGAACGGGGGTTGAGGTACGATTGACTAGGTAAGTGGCAGTAAGGATGGCATCACCCCAAAAAAATTTGGGGAGGTTGGCTTGGAAAAGTAAGGCACGGGCTACATTGAGTATATGTCGATGTTTGCGTTTAACAACTCCATTTTGTTGTGAAGTTGAGACACAACTGGTTTGATGAATAATCCCTTTAGCATGATATGTGTTTGGAATGTCAAATTCCTTGCCATTATCACTACGAATGATTTTGATGCGAGAATTAAATTGGGTTTCAACAAGGTTTATAAAGGTAAGTACACAATTTCTAGCTTTAAATTTTGTAAGCAAGAGATAAACCCATGTACATCGAGAAAAATCATCTACGCTAGTGAGAAAATATTTTGCCCCTTGTAAAGTTGGAACATGATAACCACTCCAAATATCAACATGAATTAGCTCAAAACAAGATTTTTTCTTAATAGAACCGGAAGGAAAAGGTAGTCTTGCTTGTTTAGCAAGTGGACAAATAGAACAATCATTAATAAAATGAGCTTTAACAGAGTCTGAAAACAAAGAAATGCCTTGCAGGGTTTTATTGGAAGGGTGACCAAGGCGTTGATGCCAAAGATGAGGAGTGGTGGAAGTGACAGTGGCAGGGGAGACACGACACCCAACATACTTCGAAGCATCCAAGTAGTAGAGTCCAGCTTGCTCAGTTCCCATCCCAATCGTCTTTCCCGAATGTTGGTCCTGCACAAAACAAAGGTTATTGGTAAAGGTTGCATAGCATGAAGAGGTTTGAGTCAATTTGGCTACAGATATCAAATTGAGTTTAAAGGAAGGAACATAAAGTACATTATAAAGAACAAGTTTACTAGAGAAATGGATGGTCCCTATATGTGTTACTTGAGCAAGATCATGGTTTCGTAAATGGACATAACGATTGGTGACAGGTATGTGAGTGGTGAAAGATTGAGGTGAGCAAACCATGTGATCAGTGGCTCATGTGTCAAAGATCCATCGAATGCCTTTACCATATATGGAAGAGCTAGGAGGAATACCTGAAAGATTGTTCACTGTTGACACTTGATTGGCAACACTAACCGATTTTGTTCGATCAATGAGTTCAAGGAGATCACGATATTGATCAGCAGTGAGACTATTGGAGGAAAGAGTCGTTTCAGCTTTGTTGGATGTAGAATCTGCATGATGGGCTCTGACGTAAGAGTTTAAGGGACCTCTCTTATCCCCTTGAGCATTTGCTCGCTTGAGTTTGCGACAGATGTCAATGGTATGGCCCTTGTAGCCACAATGATCACACTGAAGATGTTGGCGGCAGTTTTTAGTGGTATGTCCAACAAGGTTGCAATGATCACATTTGAGATGTGGGTTTCTTGGTGAGTAATTCCTGTTGGAATTTGGTGGTCCATCTTTGACAGCAAAAGCAGCCGCATCCGGTGTCTTCCCACTCACCTGTGAAGAGATGTTTTGTTATTTTTCATCTTGAATAATGAGAGAAAATACCTTGTTCACAGGCGGCAAGGGATCCATGAGTAAGATCTGCCCTCGAGCTCCCGCATAAACGGGGTTGAGTCTCATGAGGAATCGAATAGTATGTTGTGTTTGTTGGTATTCCTGCAATTTCTTTGCCACGTCGCCATCACAAGGTGGAAGAGGACTTAGAGCATCTCGTGCATCCTACAAGCCTTTTAATTTGGTGTAGTAGTCACCAATGCTCATGTTTCCTTGAACGCACTATGAATCTCTTGTTCAACATGAAAAAGATGCACACTATTCGTATGAGAGAAACGTTCTTTCAATTCCTGCCAGATCTTGAAGGCACTGTCATTGTACATCACACTTTGAAGCAATGTTTGGTGACGTAGGCCCCGTTCATTTCGCTGATTTGAATTTAAAATTCGAGTTGAGATGTGACTTTATGTGAGAGCTTTTTACTGTAGCAAAAAAGTTAGATGTGATTGTTTGTGAGAGCTTTTTACTGTAGAAAAACTCGAATTCTAAACTCGAATTAGCGAAGTGAACGGGGCCGTAGTGTTGAGGATCCAACCCTTGACAAGGAGATTGCAGCGAGTCCATTGCTTGTGTTCCTTGGTGGATGTTTCTGGTGGTTTCGTGATGGATCCGTCCACAAAGCCATCCTTGTTCTTGGTGATGAGAGCCATGAGCATGGCCTGGCTCCAAAGAGGATAATTGTCCTGTGTCAATTGTTGAGTCATAAGAACTAAACCTGGTTGATCAGAATAATGGAGATAGAAGGGATTGCTTGAATCATCATACATGTTGGTAGAGGGCTTAGTTGCCTCTGTAGTTTCATTAATATTTGCCATGGAAGCTGAAAATAATGGAGGCGTCGAGTTGGGTGGGCTATGGAGATTTTTTTTTTTTTTTTAACGCTCTGATACCATGTAAATTTCCTATGGTAGGAAATGTAAAAAGGAGAACGTAAAGAAGAAAAAGGGAATTGAAGAAGAATTATGTATATTTCTGTATATTGGAAATGATGTACAATGAGTATTTTATACAAGCAGGAGAGAATAATTATATGCCTAAATAATAACAACTTTCCTAACAAATACCCTGATTTAAGAAAATTGATCTAGACAATAAATTAAATAAATACAGGAAATCAAATACAGAAAATCAAGAGGAAATCAAGGAATAATTAGTTACGATCTTGATTCTTAACAAAATACAAAACAAATTACCAAAAAAATCATAGAAAATAATATAACTCCTATTCAAAAATCCACTACTAAACGAAGTCCATTTGCTTTTTTAGATTCAACAGCAAACTACCAAGCACAATTAAAACACACTTCGACCTCTCTAATTTATACACAACACAATAGTAAACAAACACATCACAGTAACAAACTAATTTATACATTTATCTATCTGATCAATAAGTCTGCGAGAATCCATATCCATTGCCATAAGCTTTTTAATCTTCAAAACAATTGAAAATTGTAATTGGTAAAGAAAAATCTGCAAAGGATGAAAAGGTGATTATTTGTATCCTATAAATGTGAAAAAGGGACTTCACCTATCACAAAACCGGAGGCTAAGATTTCTGAGGGACTTACCATTCTCTCTCATAGCCACAATTCCCTTGTTTCCAATCTATAACAAAAAAGATGGGACATACGCGATGTTAAACAATCCAAGAGAAATAATAGAAATGAATATAGTTTAAATTAAATGTTAAAAGCAACGAACCACTGAACTTAGTGCTCAAGTATTATCAACTTTCATCTCTCTTCTTCAATTCCTTGATTTGGATCACCATCCCCAAATACAAATGAGAAAGTCTGAAATGCAACATTAGTAAAGTCAATATACCTTTTTTCAATAATAATAATAATTTTCCTCCAAAAGAAAAGTAAAGTAGTATTCATTTGTTACATACAGATTCAATAAAGTTTATCTTGTCATCGTCTCCTGTAGTAAATGTGGATCCCAGTACCTTACATAAAACAATGTAGGAAATGAATTAGCCAGAGTTTTCCAAATTTTAGGATTTAATTCATTGAAAACTTGAGATCACAAAAGTTGAAGAAGAAAAGGGCAGTAACCATTTGCATGATTGGACATAATAATATGTTTAGTAGAATTTGAATCAAACACCATTTTAATTTCCCAAGTAGAAGATATTACCAAAAGGGGTCAGTCGGACTTTTTATATTTTCCAGCAAAACTGACAATTAGCATTAAATAACTACTGTTCGATTAACAGAGTATTCAACATTCTCAAGTATTTTACAGCTTTCAACTTCTCCGCTGAAAAGCTTTCTCTCACAAATAGGATTCATGATTTATAATTTATTATAATATTTTTTTTATAAAAAATATACATAAATAAAAAATAATTTTAATCTCATAATTTTAATT